GACCTGATAGAAGCCGGCGTACCCCCGGATGTCCGCGTACGTCGAAAACAACGAATATATTTCCATTACGAAAGCTAAAAAAAAATATAATTCTATGCGTAGGACGGTTCCGGATGGACTCCTTTACTGGAGGCAGCGCAGGAGGGTCAATTTGCAGTGTGTCAAGCATTACTGGAGGCGGGGGCCACTCCAGATCTGCCCTGCGGAGAGGTGACGCCACTACATGCAGCAGTCGAAGTAGGCAACGAAGAAATGGTGCGGTGGCTACTCCGCCAGCCCGGGACATGGCCAAGACGATATAACGGAGAATTCTTTGCCTTTTTACTCGAAAAAGTACCCGAAGCAGTGACAGACTATTTGGATGTTTTTGCTACCGTTCTAAATCATTCGCACAAGGGGTACGAAGCGGTCAAGTATACGGATCTGAAGGTAATCTATGGTGAACCCATCGTACCAGTGAGTGATACGGCACTTGCATTAGTGGCCGAGAGCTCTGCTGCACATATGATACTGTCCCACCGACTGATGAGGTTAATATTACATGCAAAGTGGCATAGTTTTGCGCGGACCATGTTCCGACAAGAACTAACAGCGTACACGTTGCTAGTGGCGAGTTATTTTATCCCGACAGTATGGGGTAGTCCAGATTGGATTCATTTGAAGACAAAAACTCACAAAATGGTGGCTGCTCTGCGCTTTATTTCGTGGTTATTGAGTATTTTCCTGCTGCTTTGTGTTGAACGGAGTGAATGTCGAGGTGAAGGAGTACGGAGATATTTTTCATCGTTCTGGAACTGGATCGGTGTAACCACCTATGCGGCCATTATATGCTCAATTCCATTGGAATTTATATCGTTCTCGGAGTTAACGCAGCAAGCACGCAACAGTGTCCTCGCCTTGATCATAGTTTGCTTATGGATTAACTTGTTGCAGTTTCTACAAATGTCCCGAAACAGTGGACTTATTATCGCGATGATGGTGCACATGGTAAAGGATATCTATCGATTCTTTTTACTGTATTCCGTGTTTTTACTGGGCTTTAGTGGGGCGTTTTACCTGCTACTGGGGGGAACTAGTGGCTACGAGACTTTTACCACCTCCTTTATCACAGTCTATCTCATGCTGTATGGTCAACTTACCTACGACAATTTTAAGGATGCCAAAGGATACACCTGGTACACGAGCAACTTCTTGCTCCTCGTACATCTGCTGAGTGCCGTTGTAGTGCTTCTCAATATTCTCATCGCCATGATGGCCACGACGTATGCCGAGGTGTGGGACGCAGCCGAGGCTGAGGCATTACAGTCACACGCGCAAGCCATCGTACGTTTGGAAAAGGCTCTTACGCCTAAAGTTCGTCGTGAAAAATTCCTCGAACTACTTGCTGTATCCAAACCAAAGGCTGGCACACGAAGTACTCGAGAACGGCAGTACACCGTTCAGAAAGAGGAAGAACCGCAAGAAGATCTTTCAGTGAGTGCTCGAGAAGCCAGAAGACAAAATATTATACTTGGAGTTGCCAAGAAAATGAGGAAAATATCCAGCGTAAACAAATCTTCTCAAGCTAGAAATTCTCAGCAAAACCGCGTCGTACCAGTTGCAGAGTCAAGCGACGAAGTCGACCAACCCGGGCAAGATTATCCTCCAAAACTCAAGTATATCACACGGCAGGCTTCACGCTTCGCAGTCCATGAACTAGCACAGGACGTGGTTGCTCTTAATGCGGCCATGAAGAAGCCTGTCTATAGTGTTTTAGAAGACGGTGTGCGCTACGAAATCCCTAAAAAGTCAACCCGAGGTCAAGGAAAGGATGAAATGCAGCAACAACTAACTCTATCGCAACAAATACGACAGCAGCAACAGCTTGTAGATCTCCAGGCACAAGTGGAGCAACTTACCACTGCAATGACGAACCTTCAAGCCTCGTTATTAACCAAAAGAATTCCAGGACCACCGATACCAAAGTATTGACATGACGATTTATAATTACGCGATATGTCTACAAATTCTCCTACAGCTCAGCTACTTGTACTTTTCACTTGTGTTCCGTTGGTCGCACCATTTGTTGCAGCATGTCCTTGGCATAGCGCAAGCGTTTCGCTAGATCAGGTCGCTCTGATGTGAGGATTGCCGTTGATGACGAGAACACAGCCAAGTCACCGTCACGGTTCAGGTATGTTACAACGCGAGCGTTCGAGGATAATATGAGCTTCGATTTGTCGAAGAAATTGAACTGAATTGTCCCGTTCGAGAGCTGGAAGAGCACGGCATGACGAGTCTTGACCCACTTCTTAACAAACACCATCGATTGACTCGCTCCTTCGTCACTAGAATTTGTATCGGTGCCAACTTCTCGAGACGAGAGCACGAAAGAGCGGGCGAGTTGACTTTCTAGGGTATCCGCTTCGTCATTCTCCGCACGAGCGTCCACCAAATAGCCCTTAAAGTGACCAAGAAGAGTAACCTTCTTGTTCAGAGCTGGGTCGTAATTATCCATCGTGTATCGGATTTGTGGTTCTGGTCCTGGATTTTGACTGCTCTGGCGCTCAATGTACGCGAAAACTTTCCCATCAGCCGACGAAATCATCTTCGTCGAGTCATTGAAATACACGCCCGATCCGCCATTCGAGAGCATGTAGCCAATGCCGTACTTGGACGTGTAATCGACCCATTGAGAGATCCACAGAGTGGTAGGAATAAGCGGCTGAATCTCTTCAGCTTCATCGCGAATCTGCTTTAGCTTTTGAGCCTCCGCAACGATACTCGCAGCAGAGGAAGATGCACTTAATCTCCCATCGCTGCCATTACTACTGTGTTCTTGAAGGTAAAAGAACCGGGACAGTGACTTATATGCTGCTTCCAGGACGTTTTGTGACGTCTCCGCTGTTCCTGCGTGCGTCGCTGTCCTTCGGCTGGAGCTAGAAATGCCTGAAGATCTTCCTGATCCATCGCGCTTATAAGCAGGAGGCTGTGATCGCGCCAGCGGTGACGTCCCTGGGTCAGAAGCGCGTTGGTTCTCATCTCGTGTCTTTAACGGATACCTCTTCGACGCTGCTGGTGGCGGTGGAACACGAACTCCAGTTGATCTCGCAAAATCGCTGTCACTGTGTCGACTAGCGAACGACTGAGGCTTGCACGATGGCGGAGTGACCAGTAATGCCGTCCTGGGCAGCGCCGTGGGCACGAACTCATCAGCCAAGAACGGGTGCTTCAAAATCTGCTCTAAAGATGGTCGTGCGCCCGGATCACTTCGTAAAATACCGCGAATAAGCGACTGCGCTGAACGCGAAACATGTACAGTGTCTGGGAACTCGTACTGATTAGCACGGATACGTTTGTACGTGGCTTTGACATCATCTGTCTCAAAAGGAGGTCGGCCGACCAATAAAGTGTACATAACCACGCCCGTGGACCAAATATCCACTTCAAAACTGTGTCCGTCACCACGCTGCCCACTCAAAATTTCTGGCGCAATGTAGTTGGGTGTTCCGCACATTGTACGCTTGCGGTCTTCCGGATTATCCAGTCTGGTGGCCAGTCCAAAATCTCCGATTTTCAGTCGCATATCCGACGTGAGGAACAGATTCCCCAACTTCAGGTCGCGGTGGATCACTAGATTTTCGTGCAGATACGCCAGTCCCTCCACCAGTTGCCTCATGTAAAATCTGACCTCACTCTCGGATAATCTCTTCCTCCTTCGCATCAAGTCCGACAAGGACTGGTTTCGACATAACTCCAGCAGAATGTACGCGTTGTCCGAGTCTTCAAAGAAATGTTCGAATTGTACCACTTGCGGGTGATGCAGCGACTTGTGAATCTTGATTTCCGACGTAAACTATAAAAAAATCCGAGAAAGTACAACACAAGTAAAAATGTTTATCAGCAACAATCTCCACATCCACGCAAGGCCACAATGCTCTCACCTTCTGTTTGGCCTTGGGCTTCACCAACGAGCTCTTGGCCACCACTTTGCCTGCGTAAGTCTTGCCCGTCTGGTCACATTTTACCTCGTAACATCGAGCAAAACCTCCCTAAACAGCATAAAGCTCAAGTGAATCAGCATCAAAAACGCCTGCAACACTAGCTAGCGAGCACGCACCTTGCCCAGGAACTTGCCCTTAATGTACGTGCGTGTCTTGACGTAGCCCTGCGTGTCCAAGTACGCCTCGAGGATTTGATCCGGCACGACCGGCTGTGGTGTGGGCTCCTTCTTCTTCTTCTGCGCGGCCGGAGCAGGCGGTGGCACTGTATCGACTGGCCGATCCATATCTACGTTCTCGTCCTGGTTGTTAGCCTGCAACGCGTGGCCGGGGCTGGCCGCCCCGCTGCCTCGACGACTCTGCACAAGCTTGAACCGGTCGCTGTCGTACACGCGGCGTGACGCGTCGCTGCTGCTGCGTCGCTTGGCCCGCATTGTGGCCGACGTCTGGTTGCCGCCGGCCGCCGAGTTCTCCTTGCCCTCAGTCGACAGCAGCTCCGTCGGGTCGCGCGCCTGCATCGTCATGGCCGTCCGATGGTGACGACCCGGAGCAAACGGCGTTCAGATGTTCAAATTCAAAAGTACCGTGCAAAAAGTGGGCGCGACTGGATGGATAATATCCAAGGGACAAATTGATCATTCGTACTTAGTAATGGTATAACTGTACGGATCCGGAAGAACAATCCGAACAATCCCAAATCGCTCGCTTCGTTCCGAAGAACTATTCCCTCAGATCACAATAAAAGACCTCCGGGTACAGGCAAATCCGCAACCACGTTGGGTTTTACAGCTTCATTGGACCCAACAGAATGGCATGTCGTTTGGATTCATTTGCGCCAGCGGTTGTGTCCGTACTACCTGGATATGGGAACCAAGGAGTTCTGGAAATTTGATCCAGCAACAGAGGAAGTAAAGTTGCGTCCTATCCCTGGCAAAATGCTGCTCTTGTGTCTGGATGGATACAACAAGAGCAACGATGGTACGAGTGTTTACTGCTGCATTGACAAACAACTCGGTGTTGTCGATAGACTTGTCGTTTGTTCCTCGATGGCAACTCTTCGAAAACGAAAAATGGCAGACGATGCTCTTGAAAGGATCGAATTCTTTCGCATGAATTCATGGACGCAAAACGAGTATCTCGCTGCCGTCTCTAATGCAGTCTTCTACAGTAAGGTCATGGATGCCTTTGATGTAAACAATGTTTTCGACATGAACGACAACAGTGATGAAGTCCAGATGAGTGATGAAGAAAGGAAAAAAATATATGCCCTCAACAGGAAATACTACTATGCCCGGTGGCTCGTGTCGATTCATGTTCCAATATCACAAGCAGGAAGTTATGACCGCCCTGGAAAGTGCAGTTAAAACTGTTGAAAACAAGGCTGAACTGGTCTACTGTTGCAGCAGAGCTTCGCACTCTGATTCAATCAATAGCTTCTATGGGATGCACGATGATGGTGATCTGGGTGGTGGGCGGTTTCCTGTGAGCTCATAAACTGCCACTTTGTTTGCGCGAGAAGGTTGATCAGATATAGTTACTCTGTTGAAGAGCCAATTCAAATGGCTAAACGTGCCTGCGGTGTATGGGCGTCTACTTGAATGGTTGTTCTTTGCCTCGCTTCCAGATTGTGGGATGAAACTATACACCGACCACGGCGCTGCAAATGTTTTACCCCAAGTGAATGTCCTTGAGTTTGATCCAAAGAAAAACAATCCAGAAATGTAAAGGCAACCAGAGATGGTTGAAGCCTGTCGTGTGGAGCGAAGGAAGCTACGATGCGGTGTATTTCGACTCGGAAGCTGAAGAAGTCATTTTTGTCCAGTTGGTCCGATCCGACAAGCATAATTTCACAATGCGTTGCTTTTACGAGGTGCTCGACAAGCTGGTCCAAGCAGGAGTGAAGATCTCGAAATGATGATTTACTTTGTTGCAAGACGAGCAACACGTACAGTGTTGGCTCTGTTGAAGACCGAGGCCTCTTGGGAAAAATTAAACCGAGTTGGATCTGCCCAGAAGAAGATCACGTAAATGTGTGTGCTTTCGATCGGTTTTAGGTAACTAGGATGGTGCGCGATACGGATGAAGCACTGGTTTTACGTGTTGGTAGTTATTCGAACGCAGTTAGGAGAAGATCGGAGCTAGCACTTCATACATTTTCTTTCTTTCTAGGCTTAAAAAACGATGCCTCTGTTTACTTTCAGCTCTCGGTTCCTGTTGACTACTGTTGTCATGTGGATATCACTACGAATTGCCGTTCTTCAGCTCATAAGCCTCTTACTTCTTCAGTGAAGAAGTTTTTCACGCGGTGTATCTGTAAACCCGAGCTTTTCAGTTCGACCAGCTTAGACTTCTTAAAGGTGTTGACATGGACGTCGCTGCCGGTGATGAGGTTCTGTATGTCACTCCGTGTAAACTGTGCCGCGTTCCATGATTACTCGAGCGTATCTGGAACGTACTCAAGCTAGTGAGGGCAGTGCACGCGGACAAAAACCGAGAAAACATTCGGAGAGGAAGTAGCCACTCTTCAGCGCTTGTTATACGACGAATGGGGGTCGTTCTTGGTCACTCCGACGTGGTAGATCATGGAGTCTACGTAAACTAGCTTGGGTAGGGGCAAGAAAACTGTTCTTAGGTCGACCAGTGGGGGTTCTTCTAGCTGGCAGTTGCGTAGTCGAAGTAGAGATATCCACTGCGCTTCCTCGGCTGCGCGCCCATCTAGCTGCCTGCCGCATGGCCTCCCTTTGCTGGACCTGAGTCTGACTAGGTCTTCGAGTAGTAGTCATACGACGAGGACGTCGGGTGCTGAAGTGAGGGGCATCCACTTGAAGGAGACTATCAAAATCTGGTCGATACTGTCTGGCAGTGGGTCTTGTGGGTTTCAACACTGAGCGAGGCGTCCTTGATCGAGATGCGGCGGTCGGTTCACTCGGCGCTTGTTCATGAGGAGAAAGACCCGCGTCTTCCTCGTCTAATTGGTAGCTGGACGCGACTAACGAGTCCAAAATGTCGTATCCAGTGTGCGTATATCCTTCAGTATTCGTATCCTGTGTCGGCGTTGCAGTAGTCGATCGAGTGTCGCCACGTTTACCTGCACTACCTGGTCTCTTCATCGGGGTCTTCTCTTTAGGTGCCTTTGTAGCCGTTCGAGGCTTCACCGTTTCTTTTTCCTTCTTCTGTTGTAATTGCAATTGTTGCAGTAGTTTCTTCTGTCTCACTCTGATCTTCTCGGACAAGTCCAGAGATTCCTGTAGTGAATCGCAGTGGACTTTAAGCTTCTCGTAGGCCTTCTTGGTCTTCTCCACATCCCGGTTTTTCTTCTCTGCAACGGATAAAGACCTTTTAGTCCTTTCCAGCTCGAATTTGAGTTGATCTCTCTCAGTCGTGATGTTATGCAGCTCTCTTAACGTCTTGACAATGCTGTTCTTGCCTCCAGTCCCTGTCACCTGCTCCTTGACATTTTTCTGTCGTTTATCTACGGCTCTAGGCGTCTGGATGGCACCAAAATGCACATGTACAGTAATGAGACTCTCCTCTTTCGTTCTAGACCGTTCTCGCCATCATATCGCGTACCTTATAACTCTTAACTTCCTCCTCTTCCTGTCGGGGGGTATAGAGGAAACTTGACGCATCTAGCGACGTGTTCCGACTGCCATTGGCTCGCAGCTTGAGTGTGAGACTGGCCACGTCCTTCTGCAGCTCTTCTAGCCGCGTTTCCAGCCTGTTACGGCGTCTAAAATGCGAGTTTGCATAGGTCCAGTTCTGGTCATGCGGTTCCTCGGCTTTGTTCTCGTCTTGCTCTTCTCCATGAAATCGAGGAGCGGTGATGGGGCTAGGACCGTCGCGGAAGTGCCAGTCCTTGCTGCTGGAGGCGTCCATATCGTCTACCGAGCGCTGACGCTGCTGCTCGGGCGTCGTGAAGGAGAAGGACGGCGAGTCCTGCAGAGAAGCCATGTTTTGATGTGCAAATGGCGCCAACGTATCCATTTCAAATTGAGTTGGTGTGGTGCACGTACAGTTTGCTCTGAACATATGGATACATGTAGCCATGCTGCGTGAACAGACGCAAGTTGAAGCATTAACGGACTTGGGCTGCACATGCCAGGCGAGAAACGGCATGTGGCTGCGTTGGCGGGGGAGAAAGAGGCTCTTGGAGCGAACTGGAAGTCGGCACAGTGTGTGACATCGCTCTATGACTCGTATATTCAAGTGCAGAAGGAGAACGAGCAGCTGCGTGAAGATGTTCGACGACTCGAGCAGAGCGAGTTGCTGGCAAAGGTCAACGTGATGCAAGAGCCTCAAGACACGAGATACGATCAATTAGAGCAGGAGATCAGACTCCTACGTAGTGAGAAGTTGCGGATGGAGGAGACCCATCGACTGGAGCTACAGAAGCTCGAAGCTCGTGTAGCCATGAGTGAGACCCAGCACCAGCAACTTGTAGCCAAGTACAACGAGAGATTTGAATTCGATCCACTTGAAGCCAAACGAGCCGCGATGGCTGTCAAAACCATGCAGAATACACTACAGAACGTTGTTCTGGAGAAGGAGGAAATTGGAATACGATACGGAGAGCTTAAGGACCAATACCGGAAGTTCCATAACGAACAGATGGATACAATCCAGAAATTAAAACAACAACTGAAGATGCTAGAGCAGCAGAGAGTCAGGAATGGACACCAACGAGTGGTTAATGCGTTGGCAACTTGGTCGACGAATAAGGTGCTGAACGCGTGGAATAAGTGGATCGAGCAGGCAAAAGAGAAGAGGCGAATCGATGAGAATACTCAGAAAATGGCTACATTTGAACGTAAAGTTGACGACCAAGTTGCGAAGATTAGAGGGAACCAGGCTGCAAATTTTGCAATGAAGCTACTGCAACAAGCAGCAAGACGAGATTTCATGCTATGGAAAGATTATGCACGCCAAAAAGTGGAGCGACGCAATAAGAAATTTAAATTTCAAGAAGAACACTCAAGAAGAATTCTTCAACGCGTTATGACATGTTGGCGGCAAGATTTTCAAAAAGAGAAGGATATTCGGGATGGAATTTTCAAAATCGAACGGCTTCTAACTTTTAGCTTACGTCGTTGCGGGGTGAGAAAGTGGAGTATAGAGATGTTCCGTCTTGCATTAAAGGAGAAGGATCAGAGATGGAGCGCTTTGAACGGGACGGTGGAGCTCCAGACCACGAGACTTATCGATTTAGAGAGGGATCTTGATGAAGCTCGAAATGCAAACCGAGAACTTCAGATACGCCAGGAGGAGGAAAAGATGAAATATGCTAAGAAAATCGAGAAACAACAAGCTGCTGCACTAGCAGTGCGTCAGAAACTCGGGCGGTTCTTCACTAAACAATCTGATCGACAATTACTGAAAGATACACTGCGTGAGTGGAAGACTATGGCGACGTATCTGCTCGGAGTAAGGCAACATTCCGACTTGGCGCTAGCAAAAATGAAGATACTTAAGCTCAAGAGATCTGTGGATATCTGGCATCATAGAGCGCACCAGACTCACAGCAAACGTTTGAAAACCCAACAGATTATCAGTCGAATGCGTTACTTAGGTGTTCTAAAATGCTTCAACTCTTGGAAGGAATCCATCAAGCATCAGAAGACACGAAAAGCAGCTCTATTGTACGCTGTGAACCGGATACGGAACCGAGGCGTATCGCGTTGTTTCTTGCAGTGGGCGGCTTATAAAGAGCAGCGAATAGCTCTTCAAAGTGGAATCAAAACCATGGCTACCTGTGCTATCAAACAGCAAGTTTTCTTCATGTTCAGCTTATGGAAAGAGCGAGTTGAGGAGCTGAAAATTGCGGCTCAAGTGCGACAGCAGCAAATGATCCAACGTGCCTGGGAAAATCGCCTGGAACAAGCGAAACGAGATTTAAATTTCCAACGCGAATGTTTTACTCGATGGTACAAAGTGGTTCTTCAAAGGCAAAGGCAAAATATTGTTGTGAAAAAATGTTTGAATCGACTAAAAAATGGGTCTTTGGCAAAATCGCTTGGTAGTTGGCGGGAGTTTGTCGAAACTCGAAAAACCCAACGCGATCTAGTGCGTCGATGGGTTACACGATGCAATACTGGCGCGTTACAGCGTACGTGGAATCGGTGGCAACGGCAAATGGTGTTGAAAGAGCAGCAGATTTTGATGCTGCGTCTTCAGCAACAGAGAGATGCTGAGTTAAAACAACTGGAGACTGAATTTGAGTTGTATCGGAAGACTCAGGAGACACTTCGTGAAGCAGCGGAACAAGTTCAGAGAGAACAAGAGAATACGTTAAAAGAAACGAGGACTCGTCTACAAGAAGAGACAAAAAGAGTTGAACGCTTGGGATGTGCAGTGAAAAGCTTGTGCTCTAGTAAAGACCGAGGATCTACGCGGTTGCGAGTCTTTAAAGCGTGGCTTAGCGTAACTCGACAATCGATTCACAACCGCAGCACTGTCGAGACATTCCAGACTGCGTTGAACGTCCGACAAACGCGTGCAGTTATGGCAAAGTGGAGACGTTTTACTGTTCAGCAACGACGTCTAAGAGCGGTATTCATCACAAGTTTATCATGTTTCTCGCGTTGGTGGCAGATTCAGTGCTTTGCCGCATGGAAAGAAGCTCGACGGAGGAGTAGAGCTGTGCAAGTATTCTCCACTTTGTTGATTCGTAACTCTGAAATCTCCACATCTCGAGGAGTATTTACAGCATGGAGAAAGTTGGCGAGGAAGAATCATTTGTTGCGTAAAACATTAGAAAAAGTCTGGTTAGGCTCTGTGCACGCTAAGATGCGTCAACAATTTAGACATTGGGTGGAATTTACCAAGGCAGAGGCAGCGAAAGAGCAGATTGAAAAGCGAAATGTTGCATTAGTTGCGATCAGAGCTAAAATTTGGTGGAAGCAGTCTGTATCGACGATGCGTTTTTACTTTTCAGAGTGGAGAGAGACGATTGAAAAGAGGAAGAAACAGCGTCTAGCAGAGCGAAAGCTACTTCTATTCCAGCAAACGCGTCTCGTTGCAGTGTGCTTTAAAGCGTGGTCTGAGCTTGTGGTGATAAAGAGCAAAGAAGAAGATCGAAATCAACATTTTTCGCGCTGGTTACACAAAATTCAGTATCGAAAGCAACAACGCGCAATGACATTATGGAAAATTCTTGTTATCCGGAACCAACAGCGCGACTTGGAAGAACTGAAGAAGGTGAGGAATACTCAGCAAGAGGAGCTGCGTCTTCAGCGGGAAGAAATCGACTTGCTGATGCAAAATGCTGCTGAAATGAAGCGCAAACTGGCTGCTGTCACCGACGATCACGACGAATCTACAACAAAAATGCAGTATTTGACTGAATTTGGGTTGCTGACAAAATATTTCAATGTGCTTAAATTTCGGGTTTCAATGAAAAGATACCAACACCAAGCAGTCCACTTATCCCATAGGAGTGCTCGTCGACGACAGCTCGCAGAAATGTTCTCCAACTGGTATTCGTTCTCGCAGAAAAGTCGTGCGTTAAAGCTACGTGTTGCTCAAAAAATCGGACGCAATGACACTTTTCTTTCGCGTAATATATTACGACAATGGCGATCTCTTGCTTCACAGCAGCGCGTGGTCAAGCAAAAACAGCGTAAATTACAACATCGAATCCGTACCCGTATCATCAGAAACACATTCAAAGAATGGTTTGTATCAATTCGTCGAGAAAGGAACATTTCTACAGCAATGAATCAACTGGAGATCATTGCTCGACGACTGAAGTTGAAGTTCACACTGTTATCGTGGCATCAAAGAACTATTCAGGAGAGGAATCAAGCTATTCGAGAGAAAGAAAAGCAGAAGAGAATCATGCAGTTTTTGATGGGCAGACTAGAAGCGGTGCTTGTGTGTACGTTCCATTCGTGGAAAGAGTTCGCACAGTTTAATCAGACCACTCGCGCTCAAGCTCTACAGCGTTATACCACGAAATGCCAAACAATACTGGCAATGTGCTGGAATGCCTGGTGCTCGACTGTACAGACGGCGCGGCTTCAACGCAAATCTACTCGGTGTATACAGACCATGATGAAGCGCTTTTACTATCGCATTGCGTTGTCACGATGGAGACGATATCGATTCATGAGCCAGATTGGAACACTACAGACTGGCAACGAAACTCTATCGAACCAAGTAGCAGAGACTACGCAGAAGCTACAAAGCAAATCGATGAGTGTAGACGAACTGTCAACTGAATTGATCAAACTCCAAGAAAAACTCGATGAAGCAGAATCGAGATCCTCAGCTGTGAGTTTAGAAGTCACATCTCAAGAGGTAAAAAGCAGCAAGCACTTGTTTTGTCTAAAGGCGCTAAGCAAGATATTGGCCAAGCGAACTGTACCCAGAGAGCTGTTCGAAGCGTTCTCTCTATGGAAAACTAAACTATTTGGTATTCAAAGAAAACATCGTGCCCTAGTTAGTGTGGCTAATATTCGACAAAGAAGGAAGCGTTTGTTCGCATTTTGGTTGTGGAAGGTCAAGATACTGCGATGGCGACAGCTTGATTCTCTCAGAAGACTATGGGGCCGAAGTGATCTGCTGGAAATTCTCCAACGTTGGAGGAAGTTCTCAATTGCTCAAGCAAAGCTGAGACTATTCCTCACAAAGCGTTGTCTGCTATTGTACTCCGATCGGTGTTCACCTGTTTCAATTACATTTCGACTCTGGAAGACCAAGGCAGCAGCGATTGATCAGCTTGCAAAACTCCACACGAAGCTTCGAAACGAACAAGACTCATCTACTGCTCATTTACGGAGATTGGCGCTAGGCAAATGGTGCTGGATAGCGTACCATCACCGTCTTCGACAGATGCGAGCTTTCCTTTCGCACTGTTACGTTAAGTCGACTAAAAACAACGCTGTAAGACATCGCCGCTTTATCGAGGAGATGCAGTTGAATAGTGAGGCTGCAATAGCAAAAGTTAGAGAACAAAGCGAAGCGAGAACTCAAGAAGAGATGGGGGCGTTATCAGCTGCAGAGGAGCAATTGACTGCTGGAGCTTCGTTTCAAGCACTGCAGACGCTAGTTCGTCGTTTATTCCAGCCAACCTCGTTAAAAGACCTTTTTGTCGGTGTGTCCAGCACTTTTGCCCAGATTTTACACGGCAGTGCAGCAGTTCTGTTCCTCTTCGACCCAAGTAGCAATGAACTGTGGACGCAGCGCGAAGAGAATCAACTGATTCAAGTACCAGCATCTCTCGGAATTGCTGGTAGTACGTTATCCAGTGGATCAACGCTACTCATCGTGGATGTCTCAGCAGATCCACGTTTCCATCCCATGGTCGATCAATTCGCGCTGAGCGGCTTACAACAGGATGATTCGACAGTTTCTCGATCAAATTTGAACTATTCAAAGCCAACGCATGGCATGGTATCATCAGCTCTCGTCTCCACTGATGGTTCGTAAAATATTGAAATATTACCTCGTTCCCTTACTGACTCGATGCTGTATAGGTGCAGTATACGGAGTTCTCCAAGTGGCTTTCCCGACATCGAGTCTTTCTCCAATCGGCCGGCGAATTCTTGTCACTCAAACGCAGCTTTACAGTAAAATATGCTGCTTCTATGGTAAGTTATTTTAATTTTATATTTATCTTTGAAATTTATTTTACAACTAACCTTGGGATATTTTACAGTGGAGCAGGTAATTTTCGAGATGCTTCGCAATTGTCGTGATCGCGTTCGAGCTCGAGTTCCCGAGAAGTTTATCAAGTTATTCAAGCAAAACAAAAACTGGCGGAAATATTACGCGTTGATCGAGCGGAAAGCTGTGGAGTTAGACAACAAGCTTCGCGACGTGCTGGAAGAGCGCGAGCAGCTCATTGTATCCAAGAATGAACTGCAAACTAAACATCAATTATTGAAGGACAAACTCGAATCTAGTGAACGCAACACGAAAAATGTCAGCAAATTGGTGACTGATTGGAAGAAGAAGATGACCAAGTGGCAAAAGGTTCTGGATGAAAAAGACCAAGCGATTGCTGAAAAATCCAGCGCACTTGAGAGAGTAGAGAGAGAATTTGAGCACTACAGACGAGAGCGACGCAGTAAGGACTTACAGTCTGTGCTGAATTCACCTCGGACTACACATGAAGAGTGTGATGACTCTCCGTCGCTCAGCGATCGTGGCCAGCTCAGTATCCTCAGAGCAGATAAAACCAGACTCAAGAGTCAACTAGTACGCGCAGAAGCAGATAATCTGCTGCTTGTCAAGGCCATCAGCATCTCCCGCAGCCAACATGGAGAATTACCGAGAACAATCCAAGCAGAAGTGACTCGAGTAGCCACTCGAGTTTCACGTCGTGCATCATCCGAAGAATAAACGATAAAAGAGAGGTTAACCTACACAAAAGTCCAATATTTCCAAAGTTATTTACTCGGTGTCAAGAGTGTAGTCCGCGGTCTCCTTGGCCAACGCAGTGCGGTAGCGGTCTTGCAATATCTGGGATAGTAACTCGTGCGTTCCCAACGCCTCAGTGACTCGAACGTCCACACTTGGGTGTCTCGCACGGACGTCATCAATGATCTCTTCGATATCTCCCTTCTCGCCAGCATGGCGGCCGTTAGAGAAGAACATCTTGGCACAGACTACGATCCCCTTCTTCACGTTGTAGCGGTCCAGCGCCAATGCCAGCAGAGGATCGTTGAAGTCGTATTCAGCACCTTCACGACGCTCCATACACGCAGTTTCAACCTTTACGTGCTGGTAGGTTTTTAACAGACCACGCAGTTCTTTCGCTACAAACTCGCGCGATTCATGCACGTCTCGGCTCGGAGTACCATGGTCTACCACAAGTACAGTCACGTCTTCATTCACAGTCTCAAAGTCCACAACTTGGTGGATACGTTCCAATAAAATCTGAGCGACGCGAGTGTCGTTAGCGTTCTCTTGATCCACAAGACATCCACCAACACGAACAGCGAGGGACCCCGACTTTGGTGAGGCTTCCCACACCTTGTTAATCGTCTTGGGCAAGAACTCCGTCAACGTCGAGCTTTTGCCAAAGAACAAAGGTAGAACGATAACCTCGCTAGCACAATCACCACGTGTAGCAAGATGCTCGGTCAACACCATCTCCAACGTCTTGGCTTCGAGTCCATTGAGTTCCTGAGGTTCCACACGGTTGGAGAACCGGAAGCTGCACGGAACTACAGGTTGACCCAGAGCACGACTAAGTCGAAAGCTGATCTGACGTAGGTCCAGGTACGGTTCTGCACGTAAGGATCCAATGTTCACAAGCACCACCAGACGTTGAGTAGCCGTAACGGGAGAAGAATAGCCCTTGGTGGACTCTCCTTTGGCCAGTTGTTCCTCCTCAATCACCTGCGCTAGAAGACCTTCACGATACGTTGGGTATATCAACTTGACGCCAAGTTCCTCTTTGATCCGGCGATTGGAACAGATCTTGCTCTCCGCGTAGAAACTCTTGGCCATGGCGCTCATGTTCTTCTCAGCGTCTTCCCATGACTGACTTGGAGGCACCGGAATGCCCAGTAATTCGCATGCATAGGCTGTAACTTCATCGGCCGGTGCTGGTTCGTCGTCGCACATGTTGTAGATCCCTCCGGGGTTCGGACGAGCTGCAGATGCCAATAAAATATTGACAATATCGTCGACATGAACGCGGTTAAATTTCCTCCCAGGAATGTGGATCCTCGACGCTGTGCCGCTACGAACTTTGGTGATAGTTCCTCGACCGGGTCCATAGATTCCAGCAATTCGGAAAATATGAGCAGGAAGCCTCGAATCGAGCCACAATCGCTCAGCCTTGATCCGCATTTGTGATCGCTTTACCATCGAACCGACCGGCGCGGATTCATCCACTACAACTCCATTGGTCTCTCCATACACCCCGATGGTGGACAGGTACCCCACCCATTGTACCGAGTCTTTAACGGCACGGATCAAACTATCCCCAAAAATTGACAAAACCGGGTCCTCCTGGCCGTCAACACGCCCCGTAGGCACGGAAACCAGTACGTGAGTGACTCCCTTAAGTGCGTCTTCGAGTGACAACGCGTTGCTGTCGCTCCATTTGTCCCCGTCGAAGAGGAACACGTTTGGTGGCAAAGTCTCCGATCCTTCGAAACGGAATAACTCCGGGTCCGATTGCGACAATTGCGTCGCGGCCTCCACAGAGCGAACGGTACCTGAAACGGAGTAGCCGAGGGAGTGGAATGCACGAGCAGCTCGGGACGCAGAGTAGCCCAGGCCGAACACGAACAGCTTGTTAGAGGACATGCTTTTGGCGTAAGTGACGTCAGTGCAACAATGAGAGGCTGCGGTTTTTTTACCGCAAGTACCATTTGTATGGTACTGTTTTGGACCAATCAGAGTGAGCTTGAAGTGGCAAGTATGACGGCATGCACATTGTGAATCACAACTTCGAATTTGTGATGTTTTCTTTTTTTTATTTGAGCACACTGTAGTGCATGAAGGAGATTCCTTGTCACTTTCTTGAAGATGTTACATCTTGACCAACATAGCATTTTTCCTTTTTTATTAAGATCTTGAAGAACTAGTACGCTTGATAAGCTGTCCTTGAGAGATTGAGTTGTGACGCATCCGTGCGAGGTCTTTAAGTATTGAGTTGATGGTTGAAGTGACTGCAAGGTACAGTATCACGCTCGTACAGGGTGCACTGTCAGCCCTTCATTGTTTCTGCACTGTGCATATTGTTCCGATGTACACATTGCAGAAACAACGGCGTATGAATACGCACAGTGCAAGCAGCAATATGCACAGTGCAGATAATCGATGTGTGTTCAGCCCTTTTTGAGTCAGCTGATACCGCCACGATAGTGAAGTACCTGCTTGCCTCACGAAATGTTGTTTTTCATGTGCACTTGCACAGCATACGAACTGTCACGTTGGATCGAAGAGCTGGGTGTACATGTAGTCAGACGAGGAGCATTGTCTCTGCAGTTCACTGCTTGGATGAGCTGACTTAGGCGCCATCTCTTGATATCGCATCGCTCAGCGCCCTTCGCTTGACAATCCAGACTAAGATTCGTACTTCGAGATCATCCCACAACGCAATTTACTGTCGTTGCCAATAGGCTCGTTGGTCAGCGCCATGTTCGGCCCCGACCGGTGTCCGCAGATCAAACTCTCTCTTGAGGAGCGCGCAATGTACGACTACGCGGCGAGGAAGTTCTTGCAGGACACCGTGGCCGAGCGAGCCAACTTTAACCCCAAGAAGATCGACCCACAGTACTGGGCGTTCGTGAAGCGCCGAAAAGAGGTCAGCGTCTTCAACAGCGTACCCGGTTCAACGAACCCGTCGATCATCGTCATGGTCGGCACGGGTCTCATTGACGGCCGCCTCGAGGACGTAATGGGTGGTTTGTATTGCGAGACTACGGACGAGCTTCGGACTGCCAAAGTTCTACTAGGCTACGACCTTAAGGACGGATCGGTGCTCAACGTGCATGAACGCCGCACACCGGAAGATCCGTTCCGGTTTGCAGGTATCAAGTGGTTCGCTGGTAGGTGTGCGTGGGGTTTGCTACACGATCGAGACGCACTAACCTACGAGCGAATGGGTACCACGACGGACGCCCGCGGCCACGAGCTCGCTTACCACACGTTGCAGTCGATCAAGAGACCAGAGTGGCCGTCCGAGGCCACGCCCGGAATGCTGCGTCAACACACTGCGTCGTGCTATCTCTATCGTCGTCATAAACGCACCAACAAGACGGAGATCTTCCTATGGGGATCCATTCTAAAATTTGGATCTGCACCGGAGAAGGCCATACAGCTAGGCGTTGCCAGTACTTGGCTTAACGTCGTTAATAGTCCCACCGGTGGTCGAGCCAAGAACTTCAGCACACTTATGGACGAAGCCGACAGCCACCAGTGGTTGCCCTCCAGGTATTGTAACTCGCGTCGCGTGTCATTTGCACCCGTACTGTGCTTGCTGTCTCAACGCAAAGCTAACGTTCGATCATTGTCCTGTCTTCCCATGAAGCTCGACCTGCCACGTCTGTGCGCGAAAGCCGAAGTTGGGGTCGTATCCCCACTGTGCGGGTTGTCATCAGGTGCGTCCACTGCTCTATGATTGTCAATCAAGGCTTAGTGGTTATTGAACAAATCCGACACTAAACACTGCGTTTTTTGTTGTTGTTGTTGTTGTTGTTGTTGACCATCGACAGACCATGTGCAAGGACTGCTCCGAGCAGCATCATATTTTCCAGCTTAGCAAGTCCGGACGAGCTAAGAAGAGGCTGTTCTGTGCCGTGTGCGTCAAGAATGCCACGGGTAGGACCCACCTCGGTAGTAGGCGAAATTTGTTAGACTCGGGCTATGACATGAGCGAGTGCTCTACAAGCGGCACCGACAGCATGAGCAGCAGCAGTCGAAGCAGCCGCAGCGACAGCTTTTTCAGCCGCACGTTCAGCTTCAAGCGACCACCCGATCCGTTCCGTCCACGCGTGTCTCTTTCGGACGACGAGGCACCGGACGAATTGGACCTCGATTGGTAGAGCAGCGGCAGGATGATGGCGTACGAAGAGCGTGGTCATGCGTGAACTGTGCATAAGCATCAATATAAACGCAAAATACATGCACTCGAGCGTCGAGACGAACTTCAATCGCTTGGTATTTATGACTCATGCAACATGGCCCGCTCCCTTGCGATTTGCAACCTACAGGTGGAGGTCAGTGAAACAGGTCTTTCGTGTCAAAAGCTGCGTGGCGAATGAAGTGCGATGGAGAGCAACCACGGTCAGAAAAACAACATGCGCCAATGTTACCTGAACTGCTCAACGCTGTAAAACATTTATAGCTTTCCGGTTAGAGTTTTCCTTGTGGCCTTAACGAAGGCGTTGTTCATGGGAAAACACTACCAGGAAACCTGCGAGTCAACTGTTTTGACGCGATCGTTCATCGAAATCTCTTTTCGAGTGCCACGCGGACACGAGCAAGTGTAATCAAGCAGAAAGTACTAAATTGTACTTTTATGATCCAAAAGTATTTTGCTTTTGCTTTACAATAACAAACGGGCTCCATCATTAAATGTTGTGTTCAGCTCTTTTTAAAAGACAGTAGTAGATAATTCTAGCACTTCCATAGCCAAGACTTAATCAATGATGTGCCCTCAACTAGAGGCGACGTTTTGGTCTGGGAGAACAGTGACTTGCTCTAGCGTAATTTACTCGTACGCTCAGAATGAACATACTGGTGGAAAGCGAAGTTTGAAAATACTCAAAAAAAAAAAAAAAAAAAAAAAAGTAGAATAAGTGAAAAGTCTCGTAGCATAGCGTAGCCAATGTTATTAAGCGTAGCTACTGGTGCGACCCCACGCAAATGTCGCTTGCGAAGTGCAATAAAAAACACAAAATATTTATTGTTCGACAAATCGCGTCTTCAGACAACTTTGAGAAGATGATAGTGTTCGCTTAGCCAAAATCTGTGGACTATGGACTCCTCTCAATAATCGAATATCACCCCGACATATTCATGACGATGCCCCATCAACTGCAAGTGGTGTGTTGGCGATGAGAACAATGTCAGGTTGTTTTTTTGCAATGAATATTAGCCACCCGTGAGTTAG